GATAAGAATATTCAATGCCATCTTATTATCAGTAATGTCCTTTTTTTTTTTTTAGCTCTTTGGTGAGGCAATCGGGGTTAAGTGACTCCTTGCACAGGGTCACACACCTAGTAAGTGTCAAGTGTCTCAGGCCAGTCAGGTCCTCCTGACTCCAAGGCCAGAGCTCAATCTACTGTGCCACCTAGCTGCCCCTCAATAATGCCTTTCTGAAAAACTTTGGAGCAGAAGGCTGGGGGTGGGGGTAGGTGGAGCTCTGAGTCTCCCAAGACAGAAAAAAATCATTTTTCACATGTGTCAGAAGTGAAAATTGAACTCAGGACTTCCCAGCTGATATAAAAAGATTAAACTGAAAGACATGTGAAGGACAGATTACAAAGGAGAGTAGAATTAGGGAGACCAGTTAGTTAGGATGCTACTGTACTAGAGGTGAGAATAATAGTAATTAGCATTTATATAGGCTTAAGATACCTCTCTACTCAATAAATTCCAGTGGCTCCCTATAGCCTCAGGTGCAAATTAAAGGCTCTTCGGCATTCAAAGCTCTTAAGGTAGGTCCCTGCCTCCACCTTTCTAATTATGTATTACTTCCCAATGAGCACTTTTCCTTCTAGTGACATTGGCCTCCTGCCATGGAACAAGACACTCCATCTTTCAGCTCGGGTCATTTTCTCTGGCTGTATGCCATGCCCAGAATGTTCTCCCTCTCCGACTCCAACTACTGACCTCACCAGCTTCCTTTAAGTCCCAACTAAAATTCTACCTCCTACAGGAAGCCTTCCCCTTTCCCCCTTCCCTCTGTTAATTACTTCCTATTTATCCTGTATATAGTTTGCTCCTATATATTTATTTGCATGTTGTCTCTCCTATTAGATTGCAAGCTGCTTGAGGGGAGAAGCAGTCTTTTGCCTCTTTTTGTATCCCCAGCATTTAGCACAGTGCTTGACACACAGTAGGCACTTAATAAATGTTTACTGAATTTACAAATATTATATCTCATTTTGGTCTTATAATAACCCTTGGGAGGCAGGTGCTATTATTATCCCCACTTTACAAATGAGAAAACTGAGGCAGACAATGGTTAAATGACTGGCCTAAGTATTGAGGTCTAGGGGTGCTGGGAACCCCAAAATTCAAGGGCAAAAGACTCAAGTCCTGCTTCTAATGAATTCAACTCAAGTCTTCTTTCAGTCAGAGACCACGTTTATTTTTTCCACCAATTGAAGGCGGTCAGACTCTTAAGGAATCTGAGCATCTTAATGGAGGCAAGATGGACCTTTTTCACAGTAAGACTGTGGGAAGATCTGGATGGGAGTGGACAGTGGGCTGGGGTGACTGGGAGGTAACAGAGAGGGGGTCTAGATGGAATCAAGGAGTAAGGATCTAGGGTGGGGCCAGGTGAAGACAATGAGGGCCACAATGAAAGGGCAGTTGAAAGGATTAACTGGGAAGGGTCAGGTGTGCTAGGCAAATGCCAGGGACCTGGGCCATATGGGAAAGTCTAGGACCTTTTAGGGGGTCCATCATTAGTGCCTCATCATAAGGCCACACAGTTAGTAAGCATCTGAAGCTATATTTGAACTCAGGTCACCCTGATTTCAGGGCCAGCACTCCAGTCACTGCACCAACTAGCTACCTTGCAATAAGTCTGAACTGGGATACTGGCAATGAGAAAAGGGAATGGATATAAAAGATATTTCAGAGCCAAAATCCAAAGGATTTGGGCAACTGATTGCATATGAGAGGTAAGGAAGAGGGAGAAGTGAAAGAGTGTATTGGTTTAGAGCAGGGGTGACAGGAAAAGTAGCAAGGGTATGGAAAGAAATTAAGGAGTTTAGGAGGAGGAGGAGAGGGTTAGGGGAAAAGATAATAAATTTCGTTTTGGACACACTGGGCTTAAGGTTTGGGTAGGACATTTAGATATCCCTTAAGCAGTGGAAAATGCGGCTCTAGGGTTGCAGAAAGGGCAATAAACTTGGGTTATGATAGCTGAAGAAGAAAAAGTGGTTAATGCACTGAAGGAGAGTGAGAGTTGGGGGGGAAAAAAGAGAGACTGAGCATAGACCCTTTTAGAAGTGTGAAAGACCAGTTTTAGAAAACATTTGAAAAAGGAAGAGGAGCTATAGAAAGGCACAGACAACTAATAAGCCTTGGCTGGGAAGGAGGGTGTATTTGAGTGATGATTTAGGAGGTCAGGCTTAGGATTTCTTCTAGCTGTCTATTATTTATTTTTGGAGGAGGGAAAGAAAAGGAGAAAGAACCCTCTGGGATCTGGAATCTGGAAGGAATGGATAGTCATGAATAAGCATTTATTAAGCATCTACAATGTGCAAGGCATTGTGCTAAGTGCAATACAAAGAAAGGCAAAAGACAGTCCTACCCTTGAGGACCTCACAATCTAATAAGGTAGACAACATGAAAACAACTTTGTATAAACCAGTTATATACAGGACAAATGAGAGGGCAGCTAGGTTGTGCAATGGATAGAGTGCAGCTCAGACACTTACTAGCTGTGTGACCCTAGGCAAGTCACTTAACCCTGTTTGCCTCAGTTTCTTCATCTATAAAATGAGCTAGAAAAGGAAATGGTAAACTATTCTGGCATCTTTGCCAAGAAAACCCCAAATGGGGTCATGAAGAGTTGGACACTACTGAACAGCAATGAACAACAACAAATAAGAAAGATTGGGAAAGGCTTCTTATAGAAGGTGGGATTTTAGTTGGGATTTGAAAGAAGCTAGGAAAACCAGTGATGGAGATGAGGAAAGATAGCATTTTAGGCATGAGGGAGAGCTAGAGAAAATGCCCAGAGCTGAGAGAGTAAATAGCTTGTTTGAGAAAAGGCAAGGAGATCTGAGTCACTGGATAGGAGAGTACATGAGGAGAGCATAAAGTTTAAGAAGACTGGAAAGGTAGGGAGTAGAAGGCAAGGTTATGAAGGTTTTTGAACACTGAGCAGAGGATTTCGTATTCTATCCTGGAGGTGATAGAAAGTCACTGGAATTTGTTGAGTAGGAGGGTAATATGATCAGACTTGCTCTTTAAGAAAATCACTTTGGATGGGGCAGGTAAGTGGTGCAGTGGATACAGCACCGTCCCTGGTGTCACGAGGACTTGAGTTCAAATCCAGCCTCAGACACATAACACTTACTAGCTGTGTGACTCTGGGAAAGTCACTTAACCCCAATTGCCCCACCAAAAAAAAAAGAAAAGAAAAGAAAATCACTTTGGTAGCTGAATAAAGGATGGACTGGAGTGGGGAGAGGCTTATGAAAGGCAGACCACCAGCAGGCTATTGCAGCAGTCTAAGAGTGAGGAGAAGCCTATATCAGAAGGCTGCAGAGAGGTCAAGGACTGAGAAAAGGCCACTGGATTTGGCAATTAAGGGATCATTGGAAGAGACTAGGTAGTTAGGTGGAAGCCTTGTACTACTAACTTTAATTATCAGCTGCTTTTCTCCTAAGAGGGAATGTAGTTAAGTGAGCTCTGGCCCAAACTACCCCCTGGCTATCACCATCTGCATTTCTCTCAATTGTTCATTGTTGTGGTTTGCCAGCCCTTCTGGAAGAGGACCACGACATCTGGGAGTTGAAGTCAAGACATGCACATGAATTGGATTTTAGGGAGAAAGAGTTGTGCAAAGTCACCAGCCTCACTTTCTCCACTAGAGCCATCTGGATCCAGTGGCAAGATATAGATCAGGACCACTGGAGAGGGCCCTGGATGCAGTGGGAGATCAAGGACTTTTGAAGCTAAAGTCTTTCTCAGGTCTCAGTTTGACTCGGTTGTTCACATCAAGCTGAAAGGCAATGCTGACATCAGCTTACTCTCTGAGGTTTCATCTTTATTTGGCTGGGTGAACAAGTCTCTGAGACGAATTCCCTAAGACTGGCTGCTGGGGAGACAGGAGCTAGAATAAGAGTAATGCCTTGGTGAACAGAAGCTCAGAATTCCTTTCTATGAAGTCCATTGCAAGGTGTAGGTTCAGAGAGCTAAATGAGCAGAAAGCCTTCAACATGGTCTTTTCTCCAAAGCACCCTGGTATAAAGGCAGCAGACTAACACCCAGTGGTACCCATGATAAATCAGAATTGTAGAACCTCAGGAGTTGGCATCCTCATCTATCTCTGGCTAGTCACTCTCCTCAGCCTGGGGGTGACCTCAGCTCCAGTCCCAAGGGAATACCTTGTGTGTGCATAGACTATGAGATAAGGGAGTGAAACTGCCAGATTATTTCCTGGGGGTTGTGGGGGTGGGGGTGGGGAGAGAATAGTTCGGTGGCTAAAGTTTAGTGCTGATAGAAAGAACAAGCCAACTATGCTGTTAACTCTGCAGACCTGTGACATTCATCCACACCAAACGATAACCTGTGGCTCCCCTCCTACCCACATACACTTTGAAGTAGTAGATGGGAGGATGGAAAGGTAGGTCAGGGAACCACTAACATCTTTCTTAAAGGTTCTGACCCAGAATCTGAATTCAGGTGAATGATGTTGGTCTAGGGAAGAAACTGAGTGCCATGATCTCAGCTGGCATATGGAGGAGAGTCCTTTATAGACATATTTCTGAGCCTAGAGTCCTAAACAGGAAACTCATAATACTGTGCAGGCAGGCCCCAGGGAGTAGGAGAGAAAGGGGCATCTGAGTCACTTTTTGTTCCTACTAAATTAGATCCAGGGAGCATTTTGTTCTCCATAAACTAAACAGTCCTTTTCTACCCACCTTTCTTGGGGTAGAGGGCCCATTAGGCAGCTCAGGGGAAACATGAAAGATGGAACAGAGACTGAATCACCAGGTGTTCTGATTCCCAGCCCCACATCTTATCAAGTTGGATGAGTTCAGGATACTCTATTTGACCTCCTTCAATCAACCAGCCACCACTTTGAATCATTTCCTTAATCAGATTTCCAAATAGTAACCCTCCCATTCTATTCTCCACCTCCAGACTCTTTGCCTTCTCATTGCTTCATCTCACCCCCTTACTATTCCCATCTGATCTGAGGTACAGATGACCTCAGCCAGTTCTTCCTTTCCCAGAAAGAAGGAGCCTAGAGGAAGATAGGATCTGCCTGCTCTTCTTCTGTCTTCTCTTTTCATAACACTCTACCTGTACTGATCAGAAATTTGGGCCCCCCAAAAGGGACTAAGGATCAGCAGATGCTTTTCTCTGCCAAAGCCTCAACATAAGAACTGGGTAAGGAAAGAGATCTTAGGCTGAGCCAATCTGGGTAAGAAGAACAGCATGAATGAAGAGGGAAAGATGGGGAAGAGAAGACAGGGTAATGAGATTTGGGGATGAGGATGTAGGTATTTTGGGGAAAGGGAATGATACCTATCCTCTGCCCTCTCCCTCCAACTCCCCCTTGTCCCTTCCCTGCCACAGGTAAGATGGCTCTGTCCAGGATTCTAGTCTTCCAGCTGTTTCTGGTACCAGCTCTGACCTTCCTCTCCTTTACATCCTCTGAAGTCAGAAATTTCTATGCTCTGCACATTGACTATCCTAAGGTTACATTTGCTAAGAGCTTCCATGGCTACTGCAATGGCCTGATGAGCTATATTCGAGGAATGAAAAAGGATCGGAGATGTCCCCATATCCACCATGTGCTTCATGCTCCCTGGACAAAAGTTAGTAGCAACTGCAAGCATTCTGACACCTTCTGTGAAGATTTCAATGAGTACTGCTCTCTCAGCCAAGATGCCTTTCCTCTTACCACCTGTAAACGCTTATCCCTGGAGCCACCCAGCACCTGCCAATACAATGAAACCACTTCCACTCAACGGGTTTACCTACTTTGCTCCAGAAAATACAATGGTGAACCCATGCATATCATTGGCGTCTACTAGAGGTAGAACTGGGATTCCTCCCAAGTGTAAGGGGAAACCTAGGCTCCGATCCCTGACAAAACAAGGGTCAGGCTGTTGTTCTCTGCTTGGGGAATGTAAGTCTTCCCCTGCCCTCTGCACCTCTTCTATGACAACAAAGCAGGCCAAGCCAGTTTCCAGGAAACCAGATCATTCGGCAGAGTCTACAAGGGCTCCAGACCACTCCCCACGGTCTCCACAGGAAGAAAAGTAAATAAGTTACCATACAGACTATCAGGAAACTGCCCCATTACCCTCTGAGCGAGTCCAACCCTGTGCCCCTTTGCCAATCTCCCAACCCACAGATACAGCCCCTCACCCTTTGTGGAGTTCAGTCTTCCCCTCTCTCCCCCTCCCCCCACCCCCTTGCCCTAAGAAGCTAACTCTGTCCAGTTGGCAGAGGCTGGCTGTACACTTGGCCGGATCCTGAAAACTGGCAAGAGGCCCAGAGCCATGGCCAGCACCATGACAACAGCTGGCCTGGCCTCCTTTTCCCCCAACCCCCACTTTCTATCCCCATTACTTCTTTCTCTGCTCAGTTTCCTCCAAAGGGTATCTTTGTTTGCTAGACACTGGTCATCTAGTCTCTGAAGCACTCAGTTCCCTCACACCCATCCTGAGCTCACAGAACCCCTTCCCATCCCATCTTAACCATACACACCCAAATTCCCAATCTCTCCCTTTCTTTCGAGTCATTGGGGTTCCCTTCATATATAATCTGCCCTCTTTTCTCTCCATCCCACAATAGACTCTATGTATCACTTGTGAGGTTGAGTGGGATACAGTAAGATAAAGTCTTTTAAACCATGAATCACATGCTTTATTTTATCTGGATACATCGTGAAATCTAGGAAAGGGTACAAGAGAATTGAGGAGGATGGGAGTGTTGGGGTAACTACAGATCTGGAAGCCTCTAGAGCTTCATACTCAACAAATTCAATAACCTCTTTTCCTTCCTCCCTAGGCCCTCCTTTTTTCTCTCAATTAGGTCTCCTCTTCAATTCCTCTCCTCTTTCCTCTACCTTGGGATTCTTTCTTTCCCTTCAGAAGGCCCACAATGGGGCAGAGAGGGGAGAAGGGAAAGGAAGGTAATGCTAATGGTATGATCATGGGCAATTAACTTAATTTCTCTGAGCCTCAGTTTTCTCATCTGAAAAATGATATAACTTCCCCAGCATGCAACACACAATTTCCAAAGAGAGAATACATACACATGCACACACACACACACACACACACACACACACACACACACACATACACACATATATATATTAGACATACAAGTTATTTGGTCTGTACATAAAATTAAACTGGCAGTGGTATGAAAGGTATACGTAGTGAAACATTGGGGTGGGGTGTGTGTGTGTGTGTGTGTGAGACCTGTTAAGAGGCTATTATAAAGTCCAGAGAGGGAATATTGAGGGCTTTATCCTATGATGATGATAGTGGGGATGATAAATAGGGGGTTTGAGAGATATGTTGGAGGCAGAAACAGCAGGAACTTGACAATTTATTGGATATGAAGGAAGAGAGAAAATTAAATCTTGGAGGCTATACCTGGGTGCCTCATCCTGATGACTCAATTACCTTTCATCCCATCTAGAGCTGCCTTTTCAAACTGCAACCAGTGGAGGCAGGTGAGATCTAATGAATTCATCAATCAACCACAATTTATTAAGGTTCTAATATGTGCCAGGCACACTGATACAATAATAGGTCACATTTATATGGTGCTTTATGAGTATAAATACATAGCAATCCTGTGGATTACTCAAGGTATAGGGCACTGGATCCGCGACTTCATTGGTATAGAGAGACTCCAGATGAGGAACTTTCTTCTACTAATTTAGGTTGCTATATTCTTTAACTTAAGGGTCCTTGAGTTGTCTAGAACAGTGAGAAGTGGTGAGTGGGGTCATAGCCAGTATGTGTTGGAGGCAGAATCCAGCACTGGATCTCTATGCCAGCTTTCCATCCACTACTCCATGGTTGCAGTATTATTAGTACCATTTTAGTGAGAGGAAATTGAGGCCCAGAAAGGTTGCTACTTATCCAAAGTCCAAAGGAGTGTGAGGATAGGACTAGAACCCAAGTCTTCTTGTTCCAAGTGCAATAAGGGCATCCCTTGGAAACACATGGAGCTGCCTTTTCTTATTCTTGTTCATCACATATACTGACTAAACCCTTGGGTGTGTGGAAGAAGGCTCAGCCACACCTAGGATTGAGAGCTGAAGTACATGGGCACTCTGATGAGACAAAGCAATCACCTTGTTGACTGATTAGACAAAGGAATCAATGACAGGCTACCATCTCACTCCTTTGCTTTGACTCTCTCATGTGGCATATACTACTTTCTTTCACTAAAATTTCCCCATGGCAAAAGTCCAGAAGTACTTGGTGCAATGAGTGGAGATGACTAGGGGCAAAGGAAACTTCTAGATAGAAGATAACCCAAGCCCTTGGCCTGGTTTGTCAAAAAACATGGACTCTGAGGGAGACAGCAAAGGGCTAATCACATAAAATGCCTAATCAGCAGTCCTGCAAACTGCTCTATGTTCTGATGGGAATTAAGTATCAGTCTCTAGAGAGACTGTAACAGTAGTTATTGGGTATTAATGACTTAAGTGGTATGAATGCATGCTATGAGATTTTTGCATCTTTTAGCAAAATTTCTATATAAAGAAAGTACCTGTCTCATACCTGATTCACATTGTACATCAAGTACCTTTCTGCTTCCCCTTAAAGGAAGACCCTAGACAAAAGCTAAAATCCAAACTTCAAATAATTTGTCCTCAGTGTATTAGGGTGAGTATTTAATGAGCTCAAGAGAATAAGAAAAGGGAGCACAGCCCCCTCTCATTAGAAGCTAGGATCCCCCAGGACTGAACTTGATATAGATGATGTAGCCACATGCATGTGTCCAGACCAAAGGGACCCCTTAGTGAAAAGGGAGTAGGTGTAGCACCCCAATCCCTTGGACCCAACTGTGGTATCTTGTTAGATAAGTCCACTGTTCTTTTAGCAATGGTGGGATTCTTTGTGCTCCCTAACTGGGGGTAGGATATCACAACAATATAATCTGTCTGTAAAAAAAAATCTGGCCTCTGGGTGAATTTGGGGGTGATGAATTAGTGTTTTGCATTAATATTTTAACAAATGGAACAACAGTATAGTATAATCTGCTTTGGTGCCAGGAGAGACAGGTTCAAATCTCAACTCCATTGCTTAGCAACTGTGTGGCCTTATATTTAATCTTAGTATGATATACTTATTGAAGGTAATGGTGCTTCATCTCCTAACCACTACCACAAGTGAAGAACTCATGAGGTGATCAATGATCATTGGGAATGTGTGGGTGAAGTTCCAAAGTTCACTACAGAATGAAGTCTTCCTGGTTAGCTGGGAGTAAGTATAGCATGGATTTAAAAAAAAACAAAACAACCTGTTGGGGGTTAGGGAAAAACAGGTACTTTGGCCTGGGAAACAGAAACAGCTATTCTGGATGGGGAAGGACCAGGAAAAACATACATCTGGGTCAAAGTGAAGGTGTTTCTGATTAAATCATGGCAAACAGCCATGAAGCCTGAGACAGGCCTAACCCACTGGGGGATTTTGGGAGGACTACCTAATTTAGGACTAGTCATAAACAGGCATAGAAAACATTTCACTTTCCATCCAACTGTCTACCGTGGCCAACTTGACATCTACTTGCTAACTGCTTCACTTTTCCCCACTTGAACCAGCAGCTCTGAACCTCAGATTTCCAGAATCCCTGTCTCCTATATCTAATCCAACCCCTCCTCCTCCCAGGATTTTAACCTGGTTAAATTTGAGTGAAAAGTAGAAATTGGAGATGCACATGAGTGAGGTAGCAGGCAGATGGCGAGACAGCCTGGATGGACAGCTTGATGGCTGGCTGCCCTAGGGCCTAACCATCTGGATTGGTGACCAAATGTGAATTAGCTCACACTGCCCAATCTATCTACTACTGAGTCCCATGCTCTAGAACATACCATGCTTTACCTTCACATCCTACCCAACCGCCAAGCCCTACATCCACGCTATCTTGCCATCTCACTGCTACCTCACTTCTTCCCATCTCCAATTCCTACTTTTTGCTCAAATCAATAGTGCTATTGCTTCTGGAAAGGACATGTCAATTAATTGTTCTATACATCAACTCATCTTTGTGACTCTCTACCATGAAAATATGTGTCATCTTCACCTATTAAAATATAAGCTCCTTGAGAACAGGGACTAACTTTTTGTACTTGTATCTTCAGAGCTTAGCAAATAGGCAGGCAAATGAGTACCTAATAAATGCTTATTCATTCATCCATTCAAATAAATCCTGGGAAATACACTTAGATACTTAGGAGAGTGTAGGTAGGAAGCAGCATGAGTAAGAATATAAAAGAAGGAGGTCAAGCTCTGAGCTGTTAAATATCTAAGGGCAGCAGTTAAAACTTGGGGTATAAAGTGAGTGACCAGAGTAGGACACTGAGTTTCAGTCTCCAGAGATTTTAGTAATGAGGTAACAGCTCTGGATGGATGTTTTCCCATTGAGGTGGACTAAGGAGAGTCTCATATCCTGGAAAAGAGCAAGTCTTTGGGTAGTCACCTTTTTTCACACACCTCCAATCTTGGAACTAGTTCAAAGGCAGAGCCAGGCTGGCCAGGTCTAACCTTACCTGGTCTCTTCCTTAGCCAAAGGCTCAACACAAAAGACACTCCCCACTCTCTACCCCTTCCCCTTTCCTTTTATCCCTTGTTGTTTTGAGCAGAGGAAAGAGGTGATAAATCTATTCATAGTGAAGATTAAGCTGGCCTAAGTGGGTTGCTGTTTGTCCTTTGTTCTCAAAGGAGACCATGACATCAGGGAGGTGATGCCACCACACTCAAGTGAATTGGATTTAAGTGAGGAGGGCTGTGCAAAGTCACTAGCCTCACTTTGTCCTCCTGAGCCATCTGGGTCCAGTGGCAAGATATAGATCAGGATGACTGGAGAGGGCCCTGGATGCAGTGGGAGACCATGGCCTTTTTAAGCTAAAGCCTTTCCTAGGTCTCAGTTTGACTGAGGCAACACTCATTCAGTGATTAACGCTAGGTAAGGGGAAAAAAACAAAAGAAAATCCTACACCCTCCAGTTCTAAGCGTGTTTCCCTGGATTTATTTGAATATTGAATGAATGAATGAATAAGCATTTATTAGGCCTAAGTGGGAAGATAGATTAAAGAGGCTGGAAGTGGGGAGACTGGGTTGACTATTACAATGGTAAACTGGGGGGTAGAGAGCCTTATCAGTGGTGGTGGCAGTGGGAATTTAGAGTTTTTTCAGAGATGTCTGAGCCAGAACTAATACGATAGGTGAGGGAGAGAGAAAGGAGTCAAAGAGAGCAAATACATGTTTAGAGTATGAGTGGCATGGAAAATAGTAGTGGCTTTGAAGGAAATAAGGGAGTTGGGTGAAGTAGGTTTCTTTAATATCTAACAGGTCTTCATCCTAGAGCTCTTGGGATGGCAATCGCTCTCTACCAAATCAATTGAACAAACATCTATTAAGACCTACTATGTGCAAGGCACTATTTGACTATTCTCAGTCTTGGCCTGTCCTTATTCTTTCCAAGGGGAATAGACACACTGCAGTGAAGGTCAGAGACTCCTAGCCCCTTGGTGGGGATGAGGGGGTAGGTGTAACATGATAAAGATGATGGCATTCACAGCTGGCTTTTCTTCCATATCCTCTGTATCTGAGTTGCAAAGACTATATAAATGAGAGATTTCTGGTTTAAGGCTAGAGATTAGGTTG